TTAATATTTATTATTTATTATAATATAATATTATAATATTTATATTTATTTTTTTTTATTATAATATTTTACGCTTATACTGCTTATAGCAAGCATAACCTGAAATTCAAGTTTTTCAATAGATACACGTCAAAACATGCTGGAATCGCACATGAAGTCTTTAATACGCCATTATCACCTATTCCACCCGGCTCGAGCAGCCAGGTGGTTTTTCCACCCTCCCAGGTGAATAGAATAGGAATCTGAACGTTCCACCTAAGTGCCCAGTGAAGACACTCAAAAGGAATCTGAACGTTTTCTGAGTGTTTGGGTGCACCCGGGTGGGGAATCTGAACGCAGCCCTGGATGCGGAAACGCTTACCGCGCGGTAAAATGTGCGCGGTAGCCAATATAAGCTTACAGCTCACGACATGTTCATTGGTTATCGCTTCACATTTTGCCGCGCGGCAAGCGTTTCCGCGTCCAGTGTGCAGGAGCCATAACGCATATCAAAATGCTTCTCTTTCGTGAAGTGGGAGGAAAAGAAGAATTGGTTGATTCTCTTATGCACTATGCATTATGCGTTATACAAGAGTCTGTGCTGAGGCCTTTAACCATAAGACATACCGTAAGAATTAGCCAATCAGAATTAAGGGTTCAAAAGAATTCATGACTCTAAAGCGGGGAGCACAAACTTTTGCGTAACGCATAAACCATATACATAAAGAATTTGATTGGTTCATTGACTCATGCATAAGGAAATGGGCCAATGAAATTCCTTATGCACATGCTTTATGCGTTATGCAAAAGTCTGTGCTCCCCGCTTAAGGCCCGATTTTTCATTATCAGGTTAACTTGTGGTTAAGCTTAACCTGATGTTTCACCTAACGAGCTTTATCCATGACATCACCATAGATGAAGCCCATTGGATAAACATCAGGTTAAGGTTAACCACAAGTTAACCAGATAATTAAAAATCGGGCCTAAATGTATACACAGACTATTCGAAAAGCATGGGACCCCCTATGATCTCCAAAAGTATACACACTATCAAAGAAAGTGACCCGAATAAAAGTTGCAGAGGTTAAAAAGATCTATTTACTGATATTAGTACCGTTCGTTTTGTCTCTCGACAGCTGCTCAGAGTCGCTCCGAACGAACCTAGCATACTTGGATGCGGTCTATTTAATGTTGTAGAAACCTCAAAACATACTTTGATTGATCAATTCGTAAAATTTTCTAAGTAAAACTAGAGACCCTCTAACAGAGACTGCCCATCAGGGGGCCACTTTTGATTGGTCCGCCATTTCCTAGCGATTCCCGCTCGTATTGAAATTTCAATTACTGCATTTACTTGGAATGTAAATAGTATATAAAGATAAATATTATAGAAATATTATAATATAAAAAAAAAACATGTCAAATTTTATCGTCAGTTATATACATCTTTATCTTTAAATAACTTTGTTATAATAGCTGTTTTTCTGACATTTATGATTTAATTTTTGACTTTGTTATTAAATTTTAAACATTGACTCTTATATTGTCTTCGTTATTTTTGTTTATACGTTAAATAATTTCTATATTTAATATTCTCTCTTTCTTAATTCTATTAAATATTTTTCAAATAAAATTAAAGTAAGGTTAGGAAATCAGTGACAAAAGTACAAACACTTAACATTTGTAAAATTTATTTAAAAAAGGTGTGTACCAACGATTTACTGTCATATCTTCTATTAATATTAGTATTTTTCTTACTTAATGTTCTTAATTTGAATACGACAAACTTTCTAATAATTTTAGGAAACAATTGATAATTTAAAACATGTTTAGCCGTAACCTGACTAAAGACAGATATTAAATAATTTTTCCAGAATTGTGCAGTGCAACCACTCATTTTTATTGTTATTATTTTGTACTGAGCAAAAACCACGAACATAACCTTGAATCAACTCAAATCAACTTGAATAAACGATCACATACGAACGCACATATTCGTGTGAGTGAAAGAGTGAAATAGCCTATATTTCTCTCTCACTTGTAGGATTTCGCTAGGAAATGCCGGACTCGCCTGATGGCCAGTCTCTGTTAGAGGGTCTCTAGTTTTACTCAGTCTCTCTTTCGGATTTCACCATTTCGACAAGAAATTTCTTGCCGAACGAACTCTCGTGAGATTGCTCACATTTTCGCTATGATGAAAGTTAGGGAATCACGCGATGTGAGTTGGCTCACCTTTTCACCATGTTAAAAGTAGAGAATCGACCCTCCTTGACGTTGTAGAATCGCGCGAACAAACTCGCGTGAGATGAAAGTGCGAAAAGTGAGTGATCTCACTTGAATTACAGAATCGACCCCCTGTATCCAAACGCGAAAGTAGGCGTAGTTTCCGAGTTCTACACACACCATGTTAAGGTGCGGCCACAATAAAAGAAATAAGGAATTAGAAATAAGGAATAAGAAACCTTAACCTATCAGAAATCGGATACATTGATATACATAGTTTCTGATAGGCTAAAATTTCTTATTCCTAATTTCTTATTCCTTCTATTGTGATTGCACCCTTATACTTTCATCATGGTCTAAACCTATATTTATATTCTGAATAATGATTTTTTATTTTGGTATAAGAAAAATGAAGAAAATGGAAAAAAAACAAAATGCGTATTTTATTTATGTTACAGACGATGCCAGCATCTCCATAAAAAGAAACATGACATCTATAATGATTATCTCTATAGTTTTATATTATTCATATTATTAATTATATCATTATATTAATAATAATTTATAGTTCTTTATATATTTTAGCAAAAAAATTTCTAAAAAGTATCTGTAAAATTTGATACACATTTCTCTAAAAGTAAATTGTATAATATACTTATCTTACATAACTATATCCAGAACGGCTTGACCGATTTAAAATTTTTTTGGCTCAAATTACTCGTGGTGATGCCGCCTTTCAGGACATATAACGTTTGATTCAAAATTTTTTATATTTTAGTAGTTATGCACCTCCCAAAAATGGACTTTGGTGGCTCGGGATAAGAGACTTATAGCGTCTCGCAGTTTTTGAACATGGCCGGAGACGCTACCGCGTCTCCTGATCTGGATTCTACTCAATCTTGCCTTGGTTGGTTGGATTCTGCTCAATCTTGTTTTGGTTGGTTGAATTCTACTCAATATTGCCTTGGTTGGCTGGATTTTTTCCTGATCTTGCCTTGGTTGGATGAATTCTACTCAATCTTGTCTTGGTTGACTGGATCTTTTTCTGATCTTGCCTTGGTTGGTTGGATTTTATCCAATCTTGCCTTCGTTGGCTGGATTTTACACAATCTAGCCTTGGTTGACTGAATTTTTCTCATTGACTCCTTCACTTTGCTCTGTCTTGAGAAGTATGACAACAGAACTTCTTCTCGATCCATGGATTCCATTCGCAATGATTGCATTTACTCGATAAGTAAATAATCATATTTCCAATATTTTACCTTCAATATCTTGAAAATTGTCCATTTTTGGACTTTGTACCCATGAAGACTTTTGATCAGGACATCATGATCTACATTATAATATAATTTCAGTCAATTCAACTGAAATCCACTTTACATAAGATTTGTGCGTGGTTCTTTAAATTTTTCATACATGCACAATCCGATATTTATATATTCTTCTCCGACTTTCGTACAATGTACATATTTATACAATTGTACATATTTATTTATACAAATGTACATATTTATATATACTTTGTGTTTTTAAGAGGATACTGGAATAACAAATTATCGACATTACAGTCGTATAAAAATCTCTGAATTGACTAAACGGAATAAAAAATTCTTTTATAGGATTAAAGTAGATTCAAAATTAAGAGGTGATACAGTGGACTTTATATTAAAATCGAAAAAATCGTTAAATAAGTTTTTAACTTTTTTTTGTTTTAGTATAAAGTCCACTGAATCACCTTTTAATTTAGCGTCTACTTTAATCCTGTAAAATAATTTTTTATTTTATTCAATCAATTCGGATATTTTTATACTATTATAATGCCGATAATGTGGTCATTTCAATATCCCTTCAAGTACATGAAACAAGTTATTTTGGCTTTTCATCAAGGAACAGCATCCTTGGCATCATAAGAGCTCAATCGATCGCATATGGAATGAGAGAAAGAGAAAGTAAGTGAGTGAGTGAGTGAGTAAGTGATTGAGGGAGAGAGAGGAGGAGGAGGAGGAGG